AGGAGGAGGGAGTGCCGTGTGAGGAGGAGGAAGTGCCGTGTGAGGAGGAGGAAGTGCCGTGTGAGGAGGAGGGAGTGCCGTGTGAGGAGGAGGGAGTCCTGTGTGAGGAGGAGGGAGTGGCGTGTGAGGAGGAGGGAGTGGCGTGTGAGGAGGAGGGAGTCCTGTGTGAGGAGGAGGGAGTGCCGTGTGAGGAGGAGGGAGTGCTGTGTGAGGAGGAGGGAGTGGCGTGTGAGGAGAAGAGAGTGGCGTGTGAGGAGGAGGGAGTGGCGTGTGAGGAGAAGCGAGTCCTGTGTGAGGAGGGAGTGGCGTGTGAGGGAGTGGCGTGTGAGGAGGAGGGAGTGGCGTGTGAGGAGGAGGGAGTGGCGTGTGAGGAGGAGGGAGTGGCGTGTGAGGAGGATGGAGTGCCGTGTGAGGAGGAGGGAGTGGCGTGTGAGGAGGAGGGAGTGGCGTGTGAGGAGGAGGAAGTGCCGTGTGAGGAGGAGGGAGTCCTGTGTGAGGAGGAGGGAGTGGCGTGTGAGGAGGAGGGAGTGGCGTGTGAGGAGGAGGGAGTGGCGTGTGAGGAGGAGGGAGTCCTGTGTGAGGAGGAGGGAGTGGCGTGGAGGAGGAGGGAGTGCTGTGTGAGGAGGAGGGAGTGGCGTGTGAGGAGAAGAGAGTGGCCGTGTGGAGGAGGAGGGAGTGGCGTGTGAGGAGAAGCGAGTCCTGTGTGAGGAGGGAGTGGCGTGTGAGGAGGGAGTGGCGTGTGAGGAGGAGGGAGTGGCTGTGTGAGGAGGAGGGAGTGGCGTGTGAGGAGGAGGGGAGTGGCGTGTGAGGAGGAGGGGGTGGCGTGTGAGGAGGAGGGGTGCCGTGTGAGGAGGAGGGAGTGGCGTGTGAGGAGGAGTGCCGTGTGAGGAGGGGAGGGCGTGTGAGGAGGAGGGGGGTGGAGGAGGGAGTGGCGTGTGAGGAGGAGGGAGTGGCGTGTGAGGAGGAGGGAGTGGCGTGTGAGGAGGATGGGGTGCCGTGTGAGGAGGAGGGAGTGGCGTGTGAGGAGGAGGGAGTGGCGTATGAGGAGGAGGGAGTGGCGTGTGAGGAGAAGGGAGTCCTGTGTGAGGAGGAGGGAGTGCCGTGTGAGGAGGAGGGAGTCCTGTGTGAGGAGGAGGGAGTCCTGTGTGAGGAGGAGGGAGTGGCGTGTGAGGAGGAGGGAGTGCCGTGTGAGGAGGAGGGAGTCCTGTGTGAGGAGGAGGGAGTGCCGTGTGAGGAGGAGGGAGTGGCGTGTGAGGAGGAGGGAGTGGCGTGTGAGGAGGAGGGAGTGGCGTGTGAGGAGGAGGGAGTGGCGTGTGAGGAGGAGGGAGTGGCGTGTGAGGAGGAGGGAGTGGCGTGTGAGGAGGAGGGGAGTGGCGTGTGAGGAGGATGAGTGCTGTGTGAGGAGGAGGGAGTGGCGTGTGAGGAGGAGGGAGTGGCGTGTGAGGAGGAGGGGTGCGTGGAGGAGGATGGGGTGCCGTGTGAGGAGGAGGGAGTGGCGTGTGAGGAGGAGGGAGTGGCGTGTGAGGAGGAGGGAGTGGCATGTGAGGAGGAGGAAGTGCCGTGTGAGGAGGAGGGAGTCCTGTGTGAGGAGGAGGGAGTGGCGTGTGAGGAGGAGGGAGTGGCGTGTGAGGAGGAGGGAGTGAGTGTGAGGAGGGAGTGCGTGTGAGGAGAGGGAGTCCTGGTGAGGAGCCGTGTGAGGAGGAGGGAATGCGTGTGAGGAGGAGGGAGTGCCGTGTGAGGAGGAGGGAGTGCTGTGTGAGGAGGAGGGAGTGCCGTGTGAGGAGGAGGGAGTGCTGTGTGAGGAGGAGGGAGTGCCGTGTGAGGAGGAGGGAGTGGCGTGTGAGGAGGAGGGAATGGCGTGTGAGCAGGAGGAGTGGCGTGTGAGGAGAGGAGTGGCGTGTGAGGAGGAGGGAGTGGCGTGTGAGGAGAAGCGAGTCCTGTGTGAGGAGGGAGTGGCGTGTGAGGAGGAGTGGCGTGTGAGGAGGAGGGAGTGGCGTGTGAGGAGGAGGAGTGGCGTGTGAGGAGGGAGTGGCGTGTGAGGAGGAGGGAGTGGCGTGTGAGGAGGAGGGAGTGGCGTGTGAGGAGGAGGAGTGGCGTGTGAGGAGGAGGGAGTGGCGTGTGAGAGGAGGGAGTGCGTGTGAGGAGGAGGGGTGGCGTGTGAGGAGGAGGGGTGGCGTGTGAGCAGGAGGGAGTGGCGTGTGAGGAGGAGGGGGCGGTGTGAGGAGGAGGGATGGCTGTGAGGAGGAGGGAGTGGCGTGTGAGGAGGAGGAGTGGAGTGTGAGGAGGAGGGAGTGGCGTGTGAGGAGGGGAGTGGCGTGTGAGGAGGAGGGAGTGGCGTGTGAGCAGGAGGGGAGTGGCGTGTGAGGAGGAGGAGTGCGTGTGAGGAGGAGGGGGGTGGTGGAGGAGGGAGTGGCTGTGTGGGAGGAGGGAGTGGCGTGTGAGGAGGAGGGAGTGCGTGTGAGGAGGAGGAGGGGTGTGAGGAGGAGGGGAGTGCGTGTGAGGAGGGAGGGAGTGGCGTGTGAGGAGGAGGGAGGGGAGGGTGGCGGTGAGGAGGAGGAGTGGCGTGTGAGAGGGGGAGTGGCGTGGAGAGGAGGGAGTGCCCTGTGAGGAGGAGGGAGTGCGTGTGAGGAGGAGGGAGTGCCGTGTGAGGAGGAGGGAGTGCCGTGTGAGGAGGAGGGAGTGCCGTGTGAGGAGGAGGGAGTGGCGTGTGAGGAGGAGGGAGTGGCGTGTGAGGAGGAGGGAGTGGCGTGTGAGGAGGAGGGAGTGGCGTGTGAGCAGGAGGGCTGCTCTGTAAGGAGGGAGATGCATGGGTAGAGTTGGCGTTCAGCCAGGTTCCTGACTGGGGACTCCATGGCCCTTGTTACAGTTACGGGTAGAAATGGAATGTCTGTGACGGGTCCTGCTCCGTTTCACCTGCCCCAAGGCAGGACTCCAGTCCTCCCCCTCCTTTCTGATCATGGGCCCCAAGGGGGTCATTCAGAGAGGATTCGTCCCACGCCCTGGCGGTAGGAATGCTGGGCACACAGGGGTTCCTGGAGGGGCCACGTGGGTGGCATGGAAGCTCCCCACCCCTTCCCGGAGACCGCGCCGGTGCCTCTCATGTGTATCCCTTTATAATTAACTGCAAATGTATTTCCCTGACTTCCCCGAGCCACTCTTGCAAATCAATTAAATGCAAAATGGGGAGGTGCTACAATATTGCTGGGAAAGAGGGTCCCAATCCAGACCCCAAGAGGGGTTCTTGGATGTTGTGCAGGAAAGAATTTTGGTGAACCACAGAGCACAGTGAGAGACGCAGGTTTATTTGAAATGACTCCGTTCTAGAGTGGGGCGTGCTCAGAAAGCAGGAGAAGGAGGCGGGTCCTCTGTTAGTGCCTCTGCTTACAAGAAACTGTAAGGAGCTGCAATCACTCCTGGAATGTGCAGATGCGCTCACTAAAGATAGGGGCTGTGGGTGCCATCAGTGACCGTTCATCCTCCAACCTCAGGCTGCTCACTGACATTATCTCTGAGTAACGTGGCCTGCACTCTCGGGTTATATGGACAGTCTGCAGGCTTGCTGGGAGATGCCCCATATGGCCATAAATATTCTGTCATTATAATTGGTGGCCAGCTTGAGACGTGGCTATTTTTAGACCATAAGCATTAACCTTATAGGTGCCTTGTGAGTGCCTCCTACTTACTTCAAGATGGAGTCACTCTGGTCATGTTTCACTAAACCAGAGGCCTGGTGAGCAGGGGTTCCTCTGACAGTGGGAACCTCAACGTCGGGCCAGTCGGCAAGAAGTTCTAGAGGCTGGCCCTCGCAGCTGGGGTGGGGGTGTGTGTGTGTGTGTGTGTGTGTGTGTGTGTAGGTGTCTTGGGGCTGAGCGCTCACCCTGTGGGATCTGACGCTATCTCCAGGTACAGTGTTGGAATGGTGTTGGAGGACAGCCAGCTGGGGTGTGTGTGTGTGTGTGTGTGTGTGTGTGTGTGTAGGTGTCTCGGGGCTGAGCACTCACGCTGTGGGATCTGACGCTGTCTCCAGGTACAGTGTTGGAATGGTGTTGGACACCCAGCTGGTGTCCGCTGCAGAACTAACGGCTTGCTTGGTGGCGGGGAGACTTCCACCCCCCACATTTGGCCCCAGCAGTCGTGGGAGTCTTCTGTGTTGATGTCTCCTGTGTGGTGTTGAGTGAGAGACAGGATTAAAGGTTTGAGAGTCTTTTCCAAACAGCCCTCTTCCTAAAGCGGCTTGTTTTCTGAATCAGACGGTACTGTCTTGAAGGGGGCAAACCCACCCACGCTCTCGTCCCACCACTCTTACTGAGCCCCTGCGGTGGCACAGATGGCCCCAGGTGCTGGCTGCGCAGAGAGAACCCCCTGCCCTCACTGCCAACATTCTAGAGTGGAAGACACCCTGCCTGTGCCCCAGTTAAGACCCAGAGGCCTGGACTCCCCCCGGGCCACAGCCTACTGGAGGCTCCAGTCCCCAGAGACAGCTGGGGCATCGCCCCCAAAGCCGTGGAAGCCCCACCCACGGTGCCATCATACCACAGCCAGGACATCTTGTGACACACACAGCCCCAGCCTCAGCCTCCATACACACGCACCACACACACTCATGCAAAACACATACACAGCCACACTGAATGCACCCCTAGATTTGAGATGGGTGTTACAGGTGTCTCTCCGCCCCAGCCCCCTCCTGGCCACGCGGCCACCTGCCGACCCTCGCGTTTCCCCACACCCTCCCCCTACTTCCGTGTGGGGTTCAGAAGCCCCTCCCTGGCGCTCGCCCTGTCACCCAGAAAGGAAACTCACTGTCAACTGGAGAACAGGCCAGTGGCGGAGCCCCAGCGCCCACAAACCCTCGGAGAGGGCCTGGCGGGAGGAAAGGCACGCACCGATGGCAGAGCCCCAGTGCCCTGAGAGAAGCCAGAACCCACAACCTCCCACCTCCCAACCCTTGCCGGTCTCCCCACCTCCGCCTGGGGGATGGCCAAGACACAGCCCAGTCTGGAGCGGGGAGCAGGGACAAGATGACCTCAGGAAGCCCAGGCTACAAGGGTGCCTGCTTCTTCCCCTCCCCCGCTCCACTCCGCAGGCGAGACCCCCAACACTGCTCCCCGACACTCTCCGAGGCACCCCTCCTCCGTGCTCACACCCAAAACACGTCTGCTCACCCGTGGGCCTCCCACTCCGATCACAACGAGGACTGGCCACAAGTCCAGGTGTCAGTTACCTTCACCCCGACCTGGTCCCTGTCCGGCCTCGCCAGGTCAGCACCCGCCTCGCGCACAGCAGGGCCGGGTGGAAGGAGGCCGGGCCTGGCCGTGGCTCAGGCGCCACCTCGCTGGGGAAACTGGGGGGTGGTCTCAGCCCCCTTCTGGTCCTCAGCCTCCCCATCTATCCCAAGAAGCTGGGGCAGGCCTGGGCGGCGAGGGGACCCCCACCGCTGGCTCGCCGACTCCGCCCCCCGGAGGCCCCTCCCGCGCCCCGCCCCTGCCCCCGCCCCGGGGCCGCGCGGGCTGCCTGGGAGTCTGCGGTCCAGCAGCGGTCCAGAGCGCGCGAGGTTCGGGGAGCTCGGCGAGGCTGCTGGTACCTGCGTCCGCCCGGCGGTGAGTCCGCGGGGCCGCGACCGGGACGCCCCCGCCACCTGCGCGCACGCGCTCAGACCCGGCGGCCTCGGCTGCGGTGCACGCGGCCCCGGCCCAGCCACGCGCGGCGGAAGGCGCCCTGCGGGGGCCGGGGCTGGAGACGGTGGGAGAGAGCAAGAGGGGCGCACGGGGAGGCGCAGGAGAGGGGTTGGGGTTGCCGGTGGGTTGGTCCCGCGAGAGCTGAGCCTCTCCTCCCATCCCCCCCCAGGCCTCCCCGAATGTTTCCAAAGATCTGGGGCGGGAGCGGGCGGAGACTGCCGCCAGGAGCCTCCCGGCCGGCCCAGGGCTGCGCAGCCACTGGAGCCCATCACCCAACTCCAGACGCTCCTGGCTCCCCAGCGTGGGCCGGGAGTGACAGCTTTGCTGACTAGGGGAGGGGGCACGGGACCTTGCAGAGCTCCTGGCCGGAAAGGGAGGATTGACCGCTCCCCCGCGTATCACCCCGGAGCACTGGAACCCGCCCCCGCTTCTTGTTCTGGCACTGGTGGTGCTTGCGGTGAGGTCCAAGGAGCCCAGCCTCCCGGAGTGGACCGCCGGGCCGCTCCCCATTCCCACAGGAGAGGCTCCCGCCTCTTGCTGGCTGGGCAGCCCCTAGATACCTGGCTCCCAGGGGCCAGCTTCCCTGAGCCTGGGGACGAGCCTGCAGCCTGGACCCCACGGGCGCCCCCTACGGCCTGCCGGCTCCCTCTGGGTTCCACAGCCCACCCGGCCTTCCTAATTGCCTTCTGCTCCCACCGGTGCCTTAGCTCAGCCTGGTGGCCCTGCGGGTTGGGTGCCAACCAGTGGGCAGATGGCGGCACCAACTGGACCTGTTTGCGGCCCTGTATGCCAGGACTTCCTCAGAGACAGGTCAGGGATCCCCACACCAGAACCTCACTTTTCGGGGGTGGGGGGATAAGGAATTGGAGATCCTTCCTCCTCGGGTTCCTCCCTGGAGGTGGGGACAGGCCCCAGCTGGACTTGGCACTGGTTTTGGCCATCTGGGGCTCCCACTCCCAACCCCAGGATGTCAGCCCAGGTCTCAGGGTCCTGGCCTGCTGCTCTCCCCTTAGGGCCTCTGCAGGCCCCTCTCCAGATCTTTTCTCTGAGGCATCCTCACCCCCAGTGCCCAGCACTAGCTCCCCAGGCCCGGGATGTCCCTCCCCCTCCTCTGCCCACGGCTGTCCCTGGCAGAAGGCAGCAGCCTCCCCCTCCAACACCATGCACTTACAAAATAGAGAATCACGACCCCAGCAGGGCGTGTTCCAGATTCTTTCTCCAACAGTGCCATGGGCCCCTGCTCAACAGAGGGTCCTGTGCAGAGGCCAAGGAGCAGTACATGGACCCATCTGGCCCCTTCCTGCTGGTGGGACCGGTGGCACGCAGCCTGGTCTCTTGGAGCCCATTTCCCAGCCACAGAATGGGGAGTAGCAGATACTTAGTGGGCTGCTGTCCTCAGAACTGAGTAACATCAGGAATGGGGAGTGCTTTCCCCTGGCCATGTCCCACGCGGCCCCCGGTCTCCATGTCAGGAGAGATGCCTGGGCTCAAGACACTGAGCTGTCTCAAGGAAAGTTCTAGATATAGATTAGCTAATATGCACAGACAGACACACATATAAATGTGTATATAGATCTCTCTTTTTTTTGAGACGGTCTCACTCTGTTGCCCAGGCTGCAGTGCAGTGGCATGATCATGGTTCACTGCAGCCTTGAACTCCCTGGCTCAAGAGATCCTCCCACCTCAGCCTCCCAAGTAGCTGACCACAGGCACGTACCACGCCCAGCTAATTTTTGTATTTTTTATAGAAACAGGAGGTCTCACTCTGTTGCCCAGGCTGGTCTCAAACCCCTGGCCTCATGTGATCCTCTTGCCTTGGCCTCACATAGCGTGGAGATTACAGGCGTGAGCCACCGTACCCAGCCCCAGACTAGCTCATAGTATTACTGGTCACCATTCCCCCACCCCAGGACTACTGGCAGAGGCCACTGACTCTGCTTCCTTTTCTGTGGTTCTGAGAAGGCTGGTGAGTTTCCTCCTCTTGACTGCACAGCGCCCATGCCAGGTTTCAGGAGGGGTGTAGCCTAGAGCATGCCTGCACTGAGTGAGGGGCAGGTCGGGAGAGAAGCAGGGAAGTTCTTGTGTGCTGGCAGGTCCCTGCCCCTCTTTGCTGTCTGTGTCCTCATCTGCAAAGTGGGGGTGCTTGGTCCTGGGGAGGAGCGAGGCACCACCCGGCCCCCTAACCAGCGGTGTCTCTCCGGAGCAGGACGGCTGCTCTGGTTTGTGACTTCCGGACAGGACGGCCATCCTCTCCAGAATGAAGATCTTCTTGCCGGTGCTGCTGGCTGCGCTTCTGGGTGTGGAGCGAGGTGAGGTGCCCTCGGGGACCCCAGAACTTTGTCCGGCTGTGCCCTGCTCGACTCCCAGGGGTCCTTCCAGGCCGCTCCCAGCAGAGGGCTCCCCCGGCCTGGCCACACTGTCCCACTGTGTGTTTGGGTGCCACTTGAGCTGCTCGACGGCCAGGGTAGGGTGTCACTGTCTTCGTTCTGCCTCCACCCCAAGGGCTGCTATACGGTAATTTCTCAGTAAATGTCCACTGGGGTCAGGCCTGGGAGGGACACTGGAGGTTTCCCTGAGACAGGTGTGTCCTCCTTCCACAGCCAGCTCGCTGATGTGCTTCTCCTGCCTGAACCAGAAGAGCAATCTGTACTGCCTGAAGCCGACCATCTGCTCCGACCAGGACAACTACTGCGTGACCGTGTCTACTAGTGCCGGCATTGGTGAGTGCCAGGCCTCAGACCACGCCCTCCTCCCCTCGCCGTCTCCCTGGCCCAGGCCGGGGCTCAGCAGAGGCCATTGCTGTCTGCCTGCAGCCGTCTGCCTCTCCCCTGACAGCCTCATTTCCCATGCAGGGAATCTCGTGACATTTGGCCACAGCCTGAGCAAGACCTGTTCCCCGGCCTGCCCCCTCCCAGAAGGCATCAATGTTGGTGTGGCTTCCATGGGCATCAGCTGCTGCCAGAGCTTCCTGTGCAATTTCAGTGCAGCCGACGGCGGGCTGCGGGCAAGCGCTACCCTGCTGGGCGCCGGGCTGCTGCTGAGCCTGCTGCCGGCCCTGCTGCGGTTCGGCCCCTGACCGCCCAGACCCTGTCCCCCGATCCCCCAGCTCAGGAAGGAAAGCCCAGCCCTTTCTGGATCCCACAGGGTATGGGAGCCCCTGACTTCTCACGTGCCTGATCTGTGCCCTTGGTCCCAGGTCAGGCCCACCCCCTGCACCTCCACCTGCCCCAGCCCCTGCCGCTGCCCCAAGTGGGGCCAGCTGCCCTTACTTCTGGGGTCGATGATGTGACCTTCCTTGGGGGACTGCGGAAGAGACAAGGGTTCCCTGGAGTCTTAGGGTCCTTCATCAGGACCAAGTCCCATGGACACGCTGACAGCCCCCAGGGAGGCTGTGTCAGTAGGGATGTGTGCCTAGCTGTGTACGTGGGTGTGCAGTGCATGTGGGAGCACGTGGCGGCTTCTGGGGGCGGTGTTTGGGGAGGGAGGGGTGCCGGCAGCCTGGAGAGCCTCAGTCTCCTGTAGCCCCTGCCCTGGCACAGCCGCATGCCCGTCAAGGGCAGCCTTTGGGAGCTGGGATTTCTGCCGCTTCCAGGTCTAGGCCCCGCCCCAAATCCAGCCAGTCCTGCCCCAGCCCACCCCTACATTGGAGCCCTCCTGCTGCTGTGGTGCCTCAAATAAATACAGATGTCCCCCAGCTTCCTGCTCTGAGTATGGCTGCCCCATGGGGGAAAAGGCAGAGCACCCCAGGTTTGGAGCGTTCTGGGGTCTTCTGTGGTACGGCCCGGCGGGTGGTCAGAGAGGAGGAGTCGTCCCCTGAGCCATAGCCAGCAGCTTGCCTGGCCTCCGAGGGAGCCCCTCGCCAGCACTCTGCCCTTTCTCCTGCCCCAGGCTCAGCAGGTCGAGTGAGTTCGGCCTCCCACAGCAGGAGGAAGTCGGGGGGCATGGAGGAAAGAAAGCAGGTGCCAGAAGGAGCACGCTCAGGCTGGGGCAGCACCCAGGGCTCTCTAGGACTTGGGAATGGAGGGTGTCTGTCTGGACCCGCTGCTGCAGAGGGCACAAAAGCTGGGCTGGGGCAGGACAGACAGTCCGGAATTCAGTGAGTGGCCTTTGAGAGGAGCAGGGGGCTCCCACGCAAAAGCTCGGGGCAGCAACCCTGACCCATCCATGCCTGGGACTGCAGCGCTGCCCGCTTCCCCCTGGCAAGCAGGTGGCGGCCTCCTGACAGAGGAACCCGGCCCAGGCCACCATCTGCAGGCAGGTGCTGTGCACAGCCCAGAGGGCTCTTTGGGCTGGAGAGAGAAAACAAGCAGACACGCAATGGAGGTGTGTGTGTTTGTTTATCTGGAACAACGGGAGGAAACGGACCAGGGTCTCGGCCACTCGGCGCCCACCCTGGATTTCCCTGGCTGCCCAGAAACTGTGCTGTGTGTGTCAAGATTCCAGGGGCACCGTCTAGCAGGAGGGGCCGGTGGTCACCATGGAAGCCCAAGATTCCCACCCCTGGCAGCTGATATTAATAGCCGGGTCCTCCCAGGTCCCTGAGGTCAAGGCAGGTCAACGACCTGTGTCCTCCTCCTGTGTCCCTGAGGTAGTGATTCCTGTCTGAAACACACGAATCATTACTGCCACCCAAGAAGGGCCCGTTGTAACTGAGCAAGAGGACCTGGAAGGGGTCACCGGGAGGAGGGTCCTGCCGCCAATCACCACTCCCTGTGGACGGACCCTGCAGAGACTGAGCTTGAGATTCTGTGGGGAGTTTGGATTTGCTGAGTGGGTTGCTCTAGCATTGAGAAATGCAAGCAGAGAACAGAGGGTGGAAACCAGATGGTCCAGAAGCCTGGGCACGGTAGCCAGGACAGAGATCCCGGCATTCGGGTCCCAGTGTGCAGTGCATTCACTGCATTGTTCACTCGGAATCACAGGTGGCTTTGCTGGAGGGACAGACCAGTTGATCATAGTGGAGCTGGTGAGAGGAAGCTGCACCCAAAAGCCATGGCCAGGAACCTGGATCTGACTCCAGGGACACAGGAACATGGTGGGCGCTGGGCGATGACAGAATTTCTAACAAATGCTTGGTTTCTGCTAAAGCTAATTTTCACTTCCATCTCTGGCATCTCCTCCACTTCCCAGGTGAGCTCACTGGTTTCTAAGTCTCGCAACCACACTGAGACGAGGGCGCAGTCATCCCCTCGTTTCCCCAGGGGAGACAGTCTCAGAGTGGAAGCTGCTTGTCCTCCTGGGATCTGGAACTCGGGGCCCAGCTCTCCCTCTGCTCTGGGTTTAGGGCTGGGGTCAGAGGCAGCCCTGACCTCCTGCGGGTAGCAGAGAGAGTGGTTCCGCCGGGTTCCTGCCGCCCTGCCCTCCGGAGGCGGGAGGCCCCCCAAAGACAGGTGGTTTCCAGGAGCCGAGGGAGGGAGTGGAGTCTGGGAGCAGAGGGAGGGAGCCCGGGTTGTGTCCTGGGGCTGGAGCAGAGAAGGGAGGAGCCCAGCGCGCTGAGTTTCAATTTCCTGAAGCCTGAGGGAGGGAGAGGAAGGGAACCTCACCTCAGGGCTCTGGACCGGAGCCTCCCGCCCAGGGCCCACCACACCCTGCTAGGAGCTGGGATTTCCCAGTCTCCACGTCGACCCGAACTGGGCCCCCTCCTCTCCACAGCCCATCCAGCCCCACTTTCCTGCTTCCCGGCATCTGCCCATGGATGAGCCTCTGGAGGATGGGGAGCCCGCCCCAGCGCTGCGCCTCATCCACCCCCCACCGCTCAGCCCCTGTGGGGACTTCCTGCAGTGAGGCCCAGGCAGAACCCTGCGCTGCAGCCTCTGCCCCCTTGACACCCCCGCCCTCTGCGGTGCCTTGCAGGAGTCACCAGCCTGTGGGCCCAGGACCGTTTCACACATCCGGCAGCCACAGCTGGCCTGGGCCCTTAGTGCCTCCACCCCTCCGCCCCCTCTGTCAGCCCCCAACAAGTCTTCCTGGGTGGCCCCAGCCCTGAGTGCAAGACCCTCCGGGCTGCTTCTGGACCTCGGGCTGGGGCTGAGCCTGATCCTGGCTGGAAATGAGCACAGGGCTGGGCCACCTGGGGAAGGCCCTCCAGTCTCTGAACCCCACCTTGGGGAATTTGCTGGGACCCCCTTGAAGGCCACAGACCAGACCCCAAGGGTTAATAAGGGAACAAAGTCCTTGGGTTGAACACGTGCATTTACTATCTGGGCCAGTGGGCATCTAGGCTGCTGGGTGAGGGGGGTCTCTGGGCTGCTGGGCGGCTAGGCGAGGGCATCAGGGCAGGAGCTGAGGGCTGCACAGGGCAACCGCCCTGTGCTCCTATTTACCCACCAGGGGCAGTGCCAGGGTGGGCTGGGCTCACAGCAGGGCCCAAAGGAAGAGGCCCAGGCTGAGCAGGAGCTCCCTGACAGCCAGGCCCCAAAGGCCGCGCCACGCTGTGGCTGCCTTGTTACAGAAGCTCTTTTCACAGCAGGTCATGTCCAGCTTCTCAGTCTTCAAGTCAATCAGTCCATCCTCAGTTTCTATGGGGTAAGACCCTCCATGGACCACAGGATGGGTGAGGTTCATAATCTGGGCACGGGGTGGGGGCACAGCTCTTGCTAGCGTAGCTGAATTTCTGCCCTGTGGGCGAGAGAGGAGGGCGGCTGGCACAGGAGGCCCCACTCGACCCCCTCGGACCTGCCCCAGGACCGCCCTCTTCAGGGAACCTTGAAGTCAGTGGTGACACGGAGACAAGCAGAAGAGAACGGGGGGCGGCCCCAGGCTCCATGCCAAGTCTGTGATCCGTTAGATGGAGGTCCCTGAGCTCTGTCCCCAGATCCAAGCTTCTACCAGGCCAGGGGGCTCAAGGCAGAGCCCCTGGGATGCTGCCTGAGAGTGCCCTGCCCACCCCTTACCTGCTTACAGACACCGGTCCCACCCGGACTCACCATTGGTAGTGCCAGTGACCACAGAGGAGGGGCAGCTTTGAGCCTGCATGGGGTCGGAGACGGGTGGCACAGGCTGGGGTCCAAGACACTGTAGCACTGGAAGCACTCAAGGCCCTGACTCGGGATGGGGCGGGGAGGGTGCAGGTCAGGGTCCCAGGCTGAAGGGTGGGTTCCAGTCCCTCTCACCAGCACAGGCAGCAGGCCTGGGCAGCACACAGGTAGGCTCAGGTGCCCTTGGCTACTCAGAATTGTGGGCAGGGTCCTGCTGGCATCTGGAGCCCCCAGCATCGAGAGGGTCTCACTCCCACCTTCAGGCCTCCTTCCCATCCTCCACCCTCAGCCCCCACTTACAGGGCTTCACCCACAGCTGCGCCAGCAGCAGCAGGGGCCGGTGACCTTCATGGTCTTGGGTGTGGGTGCATTGAGGGCAGGTGTGGCACAGAGGCTCCGAGCCTGGAAAGAGCTAGGGGAGGCCTTGCACCCCCGAGCCTGGGAACCTCTGCCCCACGTCTGGTTTATGAGGAGGAACCCAGATTGCTTGTGTAATATGCACACAGCCGATGGCCTCACCCCATCATCTCGTAGTACGGGAACTGAGGGGTAGAAACCCTTCCGTCCTGACCTGGCTGCTCTAGAAGGCAGACGTGACCTCGAGCAAGACCACCCCCCCATCCCCCCACCCCTTCTCTGCCTGGGGCCTCCCAGAGCTCAGGGTGTGAGCAGAACAGACCCAGAAGGAGGAGGGGCTGCCGTGAGGAGAGAAGCAAGAGGGTGTCCCCTGGGGTGGGAGGTTGCCTTAGAAGGAGAAATTGTGACTCAATAGAGAGGAGGGTCCTGGACTAGGGCCCTGAGTTTCAGTTTCAGTTTCCTGGTGCATCAGGAGCAAGCTTCTTCCTGGTGTCAGAAGCAAGAGAGAAAAGCAGCCGTCAGACTCAGGTCATCCCACTCAGGATGAGGGTCTCTGGCTGAGCTCACCACTGGCAGGCCCCTGTGCAGACAGAGCCTGGGAGGGGCCAGCGGGGCAACAAGCTCTGACACTGAGACCCCAGGGCAGGCACCCCTTGTTTTCTGTGCAGGGAGCAGAGGCCCCTGTAATGGGGTGGGGCGACATGGGGGCTCCCTCGGTGGGGGGGGGGGTCCTGGCCACTCCTGGAACCACCCCTGTCCCTCCCAGTCAGTGCCCCCTGCCCACCCCCATCACACCCACACCCGAACTTGTTCTTCAGGGGAATCAGAAGACACAGGAAATGGGCCAGGGGTGACTGCAGACTCCGCCCCCGCACCCCCCCACCAGGTGCTGGGCAGAAGGAGGGAGAGGGCTTCCTGGACTGCGGGGACAGCCCTTGATGAAGACAGATGAAGGCAGCACACCCGCATAAGAATGGGTCGCCTTTCAGGTGGGAGGTCCCCTCTAAAAATCAGAATCCACCCTGTGCCCTCAGGGGTCTCTGCTTGGAGACTCCATGGCATCTGAGAGGATGAGCCAGGTGAGGTGGGGGTGGCTCCTGAGAGCGGGGAGGACAGGACAGAGCTGGAGGCAGCAGGCACAAAAGACCCCAGTGGCTCCGGGCAGCTGTGGGCCCAAGAGGCCTGACTGTCCCGCCAAGCAGTGCACCAGAGCACAGGTCAGACCTGAAGGGGCAGCGCCAGCAGGGCCCATGGTCCGCGGGTCACTCTGCTGGCCCCGCAGTCACACTGCTCGGGTCCCACGGCCTGATGATGGCTGAGCCAGACATCATAACACCAAGCAATGGAGAAGTTAGAATAT